ACTGATGGTACCCCGGGAGAATCTGAGCCAGAGCCCAACATCCATTTGCCAGTTGCTGCTCGTGAATTTCCAGCTGAAGGATGCACAGTATTTTCAATGCCAGTTAGATTGACGGGTTTATCTTCCAGTCCATTTACTTACTTAATTACCCTACATTGAGCAAGAAGTCATTTCTTATAAATATGGTAATAAACCGATCAGGATCTCAACAGAAGCACATTCATAAACAGTTTGTGGAAAAAGATGATGTTCCCCAGATTCAGCAAGTATCAGGCTTCCCCCATCGACAGTCAGTAAATTAAGAAATAATATTTGATGGCCTTAAAATGTCAGCCCCCAGATGATGTTTGTCGTCAGTCAGGACCTGCTTGGAGCTGTCCTCTGCTCTCTGAGCAGTGCCTGCTCAAAGGACGGGGAACAGATCCAGCAGAAATTCAGTGTATAAAGTTTCCTCTGTCCTTCATCTTCAGGTTTTAGTGCACACTGGAAAGCAAGTGAAACTCATGCTTCTTTTAGCTTCTCTGACTTGCTTCTGGGATGTCGAAGCCTTTCATTTGACAGCTCTGGCTGTTGTGTGAAGAAGTGAAGAGACCATCAGCACCTCAGGCCTGATTCATTGATGGGGGGATATTTTTTCAGCCTGATAACAGACGTTGCTTTGTAAAGGAGGTTCCCGCAGAAATTATTTGAAGGCTACGGTTTGTAGGTGCTATTTTTCAACAGCATAAACACTACACTCCAGTTTCAAAAGACTGAAGCAAATGTCAAATGTTAAAGCATATAGGCACACATGGAAATGACTGCAAGGAGCCAGAGGTTCTGCTGTCCCTACTTAAGTAAGAATTTGCAGGGTAAGGACAAATGAAGGACTAAGGCTTGGCTTGCTAGCCCTGTGATGCCAAAACACCCACACGGGCTGACACCTGCAGCGTGGCTTCAGACAGGGCTGCAGGCGTGTGGTGCCCCATCGCAGCAGCTCCGCCTGCCAGCAGGAGCCCCGGGGCTGTGCCATGCCCGGGAGATGCCGCGGGCGGGCAGGCGCGCACAGCACCCGTGCGCCTTCCTCACCGTGTCTATCAGTGTCGCTTCCGTGTGGGTGGCACCAGTGACTGTGCATATGTTTGCTGGGTGTAGGTGTGCCGAGGGCTATCTGCACACACGCTGGTGCTGCAAATCAAGAGGGTTTTCTCGCCCCTCACCTGTCCCCGTGCCTGCTGTGTTAGCGATGCCCATGGGGACAACAGCAGACTGGGGGGACGTGGGTTATCCCATACCCCAGAGGTTCTTGTGACACATTTCTCACCGTTCTTTCAGCTCCTTTTCCATCATGATCACTTCCAAATCTTCCCTATTTTGAATTTCCAGAGTCCGTCCTCTCAGCACCTGTGATCATTCCTCAAGAGGTACATTATCCAAAATAACAAAATTGAGCTGAACAAGGCAGGGAGAGAAACGCATGTGACTCCATTGACATTCATGTATGCCAACGCTCTGCAAAACCCATACGAGAGTCTGTGTTGTTTGGAGTTTATTTAAATTAATCACTATAATTACATTTTGCTCTTTATCAAAAGCCTCCTATAGAGATTGTCCAGCTAGAAAATAATAGGAATTTCAGAAATAGTAGTATTTCAATAGCCTCTTTGAAGACATTCAGGAGCATCATGTAAAACACAGTGGGCACTGGAGGGAATAATTCTGCTGGGAGGTCGGATGGATGCCGAGTTCTGTTGATTTCCTCATTTTTCAAGGCTGGAGGCTTCTGCATGTGAATGAGTCCTTTGTTTTTCCAAGGGTTCTGGTACAGAAATATCTGCTGTAACAACCGCTTATTTCCTATCCTGGAAACAAAAGCTCTGATAGCAAAGACAGGCCATTCTGCTCTTGTGGACAACTTCACATCGTGCAAAGAGGAAGGTGGCAGACAGCCTCCCCGGAGACAAAATTCCCTGGTGTGCAAAACCTTGGAGTAGAAATGGGTGAGAACAAAGGTTCTTGCTAAGTACAGCAAGGTCAGCCGCCAGCAGAGCACAACGAGAACAGGAGCTTTGATGTATTCGTTTTCTTGTTATGTCTGGCAAAGATCTTAAGTGAACCAGCTACACTCTTTCAAAATTCCTTTATACCATTTCTTATCCTAAATCATAAGGCCCACTTTCTTAGACATATATTTGCCTAATTCATTGCGCTCAATTGCATGGATTTATCCCACAAGACTTTGTTAGAAGCTCCCTGTTAAGCACCAGGTGCCTGCCTGTCCCACCTATTTCTTATGGAGCCTTCAAGACAAAATAAATGTTGTTTTTCAGGAAGCTAAAAAAAAATAATTGATAATTCAGTCAGACTTTTCTATCAGGAGAGCCCAGAACTGTCTGATATCTGGCACTGTCAGGTGCATTGATCTGTCAGTCATTCTGTTATGACCATTCCTGCAACATCTAAGAGTTTCACCAATTTCCCAAGACTAAGTTTGGTGCTTAATTGAAAGTTCAGAAGCTATATCCTTCAGAGGTTCATTTAAATAATCTTCAGAGCAACTAGAGTTAATTCCTAGCATCCTTGTGCTAACAAACTGAATAAAACGCTACTATCTATAGGGAAAAAGGAAATTAATACATTCTTAAAATAATGGTCTTATTGCTACTTATCCTTGTTACAGTGTGGTGAGGTTCTCCTTGTTAAGCCACCTGCACTCTGCAAGGTTTATAGACAAAAGCAGCATCATTAATTAATGCAACAGTGCAAGCTTTCTATGAGCTATTACAATATTTTATTGTTATGGCTATTATTATTATTATTACTACTAGACAGGCTGCTTGGGAATTTCGAAACCATGCTAGCAACTCTCTATTGCATTGGCTACCCTTCAGTACCTTTCTTTAGCTTATAAATGCAGCTGTTTCTGTTAAACTTTGGATGAAAAGCAAGAGCCTATAAAGCCTACCAGTAGGTTATTTTAGCCTCAGGTCAGTGTTGCTTATGTTATACAAGGACTGAGATGGAAGTCTGAAGGTGCTATCTATCAACATACCTAAATCTGCTTTGCTTGAATATGGCTCTGGGATGCTGGTCACTCAGCCAGGGCAAGCTCATCCTTTGGCCACTTGTAACTCACTCCTAAATGCCTGAACAATCGCTCTAATGAACCTGCAAGTCTCTGACACCAAGAGTCATTGCCCTGGTCAAGGGTGGCTTGAGGGAAAAAAATGCGTTCATCCTAGAGGGATGCTTTATTGCTTGCCATAAGGAAGATGTCAGTCTTCTGGACTCTGTTTTTGCAGTGCGACTGTCCTTGCTGTCCTTGTAAGAGGCCACAAAGTTGTAGGCACCAGCACAAATCTGCTCTGATGCAAGGTGTTAGACTACAGTGCTGCAGACATTAAATGCCTGCTGTAAATGTCTGCCCTGGCACTTATGTGGGTGTTTAAGCATTTTGTCATCCTCGGAGTCACAGCGAGATCCGTAAAATCATCTAGGAAGAGGCTAAAGATCCCAAACTTAATTTGCAGAGATAAAATGTTGGTCTTGTACAAAGATCATGGTCCATTCTTGTTTGCCCAGAGCCTGTGCCCATAGCAACGTGAGGAGTTTTCCAGTTGTCACATTTGGCTATGGAGACAGAGCGTGGCTGTGTGTGATGCTGGGGTGCCCAAGGCCTCAGTTGCAGTTGGCAGGGAGTGTTGTGAGGGGAACCAGAACTGTGGCAAATCTCTTCTAGAGAAAGCAGAGGGCATGCCAACAACAACAAAATGCTACCGTCTCTGTTTATAAGACTTCAGAAGAGGCTTGGGGATGTTAAGAACAGTTATGTCAAACCTGGTCACTGCGGCCAACAGAGAATGTCTCCATGTTAGTGCAGGTTTTGAAAGCTTTGGTCACATCCCAATTTGGTTATCCCGCTCTGCAGAGTCCTGGTCTGTCCAACCTCCCTTATGCAGGAGGGAGTCCTGGCCTTTGAGCCTATTTCTAACTCTGCCACAAACGTGTTTTCTTTGTGTTTCCTCCTCACCATTTACTTTTTGTTTTCAGTAAGAATGCAAATGGCAGAGGCAAAATCTCTCTGCTCAGACATGGATAATCAGGTTCTGGTACAAGAGGCCCCAGGTTTGGTTTCAGGCTTCATGTTTCAGATGGGAACGGGTGAATTTTCTCTCCTCTCTGAGATGGCCGTGGCTCTGTGTTCACAACACTTTGTCCTGAAACATTTCTAAATCCCAAGTGGTGCCTAAGGGCTGGTTTTTATTGTTGTTACTCCTATCGATTTTTTCCCTTTTGTTTTTGAGCAAAGCTGCTAATGGTCAAATAAGCTCCAACCTCACTAGAACTGCCACAAAACAACTCTTACAAGGATTCAGACTAGAAAAGCCCCCTAATTTCTGAAGCCTGCCCTACCTGATGGTGCTGGCAAGCACAGATTCTTCCAGAGCAAGTGCATGGGTGAAATGCCTTGTAGGTTAATGGTGCATCAAGGAAGATGTGTGCTGGGGTGGGTGATTTTTTTTATTATTTTTTTTCCTGCTTCAGGATCTTTGTCTGTCACTCTGAAACCCTTCTTCTAAGGCACATTTGCAGGATCCCTCCCTTTTTATTATCCTAATGAGCCAGGCTGTAGAGACTGATCCGTTCAACTCCTGGCCCTGGGGATGAGAGCCCAGGTTGGGATGCGACGGATGAGAGGCAGAGGAGTTTAAGCCCTTTCTCTAGAGGAGTTTGCCACCTACTGATTCACAGGTTCCTTCTAGCTCTTGCCAAGACAAGTTGAGGGGCGATGCGGGGGGGAGCTGGGAACTTGGGGTAGGCAGGAATTGCCCTTAGAGACCCCAGCCAGGGCCCCCGGGGAATAGCCGGGGTGGGGGGGACGCGGTGCCCAGCTGTTGAGCTCCAGCTCGGCGAAGGCAAAGGGAGCTCAGTGGAAGTGCACGGCGTGCATGCGTGCGTGTGTGTTGTGTGTGGCGGGGGAGGGATGTGGATGAGGAGCGGGCTCTCTTTCTTTCTCACAGGGCTCAGTTAATCCTGCTGTCAGGCGGTGTTAAGCAGCAGTCTCAGCGCTGGATTCCGAGAGAAGGAGACGCGCAATCCAGAAGGCGCAGCAGAGGGGAGGCGAGAGAGGCAGCTAAAGAGAGCAGAGCGGGGGAAAAATCAAATCTATGCTCGGAACTGGGCTTCTTTTTCGCCAATGCAAAAGGGAATATGCAGCACATTTTTGCCTTCTTCTGCACCAGTTTCCTAGGGGCAGTGTTAGGGGCCAATTTCCCCAACAATATCCAGATAGGTGAGTGCGGAGCTCGGGGCCGCTGGGGAGTGATGCTCCCCGGCAAGCGGTGGGGTGGAGAGGGGGCGGTGGGGGCAAACTGACCCGTTCATTTGCTTGCAAGGGAAAAATGTGCATGTGTGTGTGAGAGAGAGAGAGGGGGTGAACAGCGCGGGCTGGGTTTTCCTCTTGGTATGAGATTTGCAAGAGCAGAGATATATCAATTTTTCTTTGGGGGAGGGGAGGATTGGAAATAAATGCCTGCACACACACCAACACAGAGGGAGAAAAGTGCCTCCGAAATGGAGGAAGCATGAAAAAAAATATCTGTTTCTTGCTTTGTGAAATATCTGGGCTGCCATTGTGCGTTGCTGCATTTGCAAAATCGGCGGTTGCATTATACATTTTTGTGAGGATGCTCTCATCTGTAGGTAACTGGGACGAGAGGTAACAAACAGGCGCGCTCTGTTGTTGTTGCTAAAGAATAAGGGCAGAGCTATCGGAGGAGGATTTTGCGTTGAAGTCTCTTTTCATTTCATGCTACTTGCTTCCTCTGTGCACCAGCACTGCCTGTTTGATTCCTTTCTCCCCTCCTGTAACTTCTCAGTGCTCCTCTCCCCCCAGCCCCAGGTTCATTATTACTCTCCCATTGATCTTTATTGATGATGATTTGTAACCCAAATTCCCTTTCCTTGCATGCCTGTTTTCTTTCCCACCTCCTTTCTCTTTACAATGCCAATCAACTGCTAATCCACCAAGTTCAGGCAACTCCTGCCTTAGTATAGCTGCACAATTGGTGCTTTTATTGCTGTTCCTGCTACATCCCCATCTCCCTCCCTTCCTGCCTCCTTTTTACCCTAAATCTGTGCAGCATCCCACATTCTTTCCCTTTCAACAAATGTGTATAAGAGCTTAACTCGGCTACTAGCATCTTATTTCTCTGACACCCACGATTAGGCTGGAGAGGGGGGTGCGTGTGGGGGGGTGGGTGATATTCGTACACAAATAGCCCTTTCCACACACCAAGGAGATGCCCTCTATACTTAAGATGTGCAAAGTGCCATTGCAAGCAGGTTTCTCCCTGCACATTTGGTTCTTCCCCAAGCCATCTGCCCCAGAGGGTGGGTATCGATGCTTTTAGCTCCTGTTTTAATTCAGCCTTGTTTTCAAGTGCTTTGTTTCCCTATCTGTAAAGTACAAATAGTGCTTCTACATGCATATAGATGGCAGGACTAGTGCTATTACATTCAGACTTTCCGGATGCCATGCAGGGATCTGCCGCAAGCAAAGTTCCCTGTGGGGGAGAGCAGCAGGAAACTTTTCCTAGGGCTGGGTTATCCCAGCACTTTGTTCCAGGTCCATGTGGGGAGAGAGGCTCTGAGCCTGCATCCAGCCTGATCCCAGTTTCTATTCACTTTATGTCGTCCTGCGGTTCTGGGCTCAGCTGCACTTCCACTCAGATCGATCCTTTTCAGCGTCAAGCTTTAGATTTCCTGCTCTCTCTGAGTTTGGCCACTGTCACCTGTTAAATGTAGGGTTTTTCCATGCAGCAAACTTCCAGCAGCAGCAGCAGGTGTTTGGCCATGGGCCCTGCTCGCTCCAGCTCTTACAGCCCTGTCCCCATGTGCCCAGCTTGGCTCGGCTGCTCTGAACCCAATAACCCCTGCTTCCCTCCTGCAGCAAACCTGGGGAGCAAGGTTTAAAATGGGCCTCATTACAAGTGGGGGAGGAGGAATAAAGACTCTAACTCCTTATTTATAAAAGTAACATCGGCAGCGCTTTACATTTCTTTTCTTTAAAGTTATGGGGAGGTAAAGAGGTTGAGCCAAACCCCAAGGTTCTGCCCAACCCTGCAGGCTGCTGGGCTCGGAGATGCACCAGAGTTCCTATACGTTCTCCAGACATTACATAATGTAAAGGTTTTCTGCTCCCAGCCTGGCTGCAGCAGGCACGAGCCCCCCTGGTGTGCTGGAGGGTTTTGGACTGCAGAGGCAGCCTCAGGATAGGCGAGCTCTAGCCCAGGAATATTTCAGACCAAAGTGGTGTTAATACAGGTGTGCTCAGACCTTTCTCCTTGTTCTGTTTTTCTCCCCAGGGGGGTTATTTCCTAATCAACAGTCCCAGGAACATGCTGCTTTTAGGTTTGCGCTGTCTCAGCTCACGGAACCCCCTAAGCTCCTTCCCCAGATCGACATTGTGAACATTAGCGACAGCTTTGAAATGACATACACCTGTAAGTAGCGGTGTTTGCCGTGCTTTCTCTTACTTTGGTTTCTTTACTCCTGACTGCTTTTGTGTTTATTATTTTTTTTATTATCTAAAATACGGGATGTCTCGCTAAAAATGTGCGACTCTCCTTCAGGGTCCATACAAGAAAACCCCAAATACCCAGCCAAGAGATTTCAGAATCATTTTGGTTTGTGCTAAGACGTAGGGGGTGAGGTAGTGCTGCAGTTGTTCAGCATGTTTTGTGTTTTCTCTTTCAGTGCTTCCAAAGCAGTATAAAACCCTCAACAATCCATTTCCTTGTGTTTCTCTAACCCCTGCCCGATTCTTCATACTGGGGTTTCATTCCCATATTTCCTATAGCTGCGATGTACAACAAAGGCACCCCTTTCCACCCACGGGGTGCACAGAAGTGTCTGTTTAGTGTGAACAACTTCTTCTCCAGCCCCAGTTTAGCCATCTGTCCTTGCAATTTAAGAAAGACTGAGCAGAAAACGGCACCGTGGTGCAAGTAGAGTCCAGATTTACAGTAAGGGACATGTCCAACAAGAATGGAGAGGTAAGGGAGTTCTAGTTTCAAGTGCCAGTGAAATTATTGGCTCTAAAAACACCAATTAAAGACTAAATTGGCACAGCAGAGTCAATCCTAGGGCTTAGCTACACCCTGCTAAAGCACAGCACATTGTTATGTGGTGGAGTTGGGAAAAGAAAAAATCTGACTTGCCAGGTAACGCCAAGATTAGAAGCAACAAATAAGACCAGGAGGTAACCAGCGGAAAACAAACACTAATACAGCCCCTGTGGTTGCAGCAGGGGCTCTTGCGGCATTTGCTTCCTCTGAGAGCAAACAGCACGGTGCTGTGCATGAGGGGCTCGCACCACTGGGATGCGATGCACAAAGAACTCCTCAGCTCGACCTGGTGTCAGACACGGCTTTCTTTCTCTAAGCCTGCGTGTGCTTGTGTGTGTACGAGGACCTGCAGGAGGAACCCTTCCCTTTGCAGAGCCTGTTGGGTTGTTGTTGGCTCACATCCGTAGTATCCTTTTGATTCACTGAAACATCCTCTCTGCAGTTTAGTCATATGGAGAGTGGGATAGAGGTGGACACAAACTGTTCTCTCTGCTAAGAAATATACAGAAGGGAAAAATGTTTTTCAGCAGAAAGAACCCAGGAATGTATAGGAGGAGAATTAATAAGGCTCCTTAAAGAAAAATAAAAGGTCCTATTTTTTTGCATGTTGGAAAGTTTGCAAGTACAAGACTGCAGAATTTCTTGGCCTGTAAGACATAGGAGAGAGGAGTAATATTTTGGCCATTCTTTCACTGGACTATCTAATGACATATCTAAAGATTTTCTATTCTCCTTAATACCCCTTTATTTGCCAACTACAAGGTTTTCATCAAGCAAGAGCAACTATTTCAGCTCAATCCAATGGCACTTCCTTGGCAGGAAAACTAGACAAATAGAAGAAAAAGGCAGACCTAGTATCTATCAAAGGAAAGCGTCACCCACCTGGGGTAGAGTTGCTGACTGTGGCTGGGGATGAGCTATTTCAGTGCTGATAGCAGGAAGAAAGCAGAAACTGCAAGAATATTGCTAGAATAAATTCTCCATCTGCGCAGAGTTTTCCCTCCCTCTCTACGCCTGCCACTAATGATTTTGTTTACTGCATTAACAATGATAGCAAGGCCACGATACTAGTTATGCTTAAAAAATCTGTCATTAGTACCACGAGGGTGGGGGTGGTCTCACAAAAGCTGAATGGAAGCAAGACAGCCTCCCAAAGGATGTTATATTTGAGCTCTATGTAGGGCACATTGTCCTAGATCAGACCAGCAAAGCACTCTGCACAGTCCAACTTCACTTGTCCTCATTTTTTTTTTTTTTTTTAATTAAAAACTTCCTAAGTTCTTCAAGACTATGGAAGGCAGCTTTTGTTTTGTAAGCACAAAAGAAGGTGTTATTCCATGTACCCTTGGGAGGAAGAAAAAAACACCACCACAACAAAAAAAACCCACAATATAACAGGCTGCTGGGAGATGTGGTTTTGGTACTCACATGCTGAAACTTTTGCCAGGAATTATCTCCTTCCTCACCTTCCAGCAAATTCCCTTCCCTGTTGCCAAGATATCAGCAGAAAGATCTGTTTATTTACAGTGAATAAAAAACCCTGCCCACGCAGAGGTCCTTATCTTCTGAGAAAAGACTGGCCATGCTACCAGTTAAAAGTACCAGTTTTTGTTCCCATGGAGATGGAGAACACAGCATTTCTCTGTCGTTGGAATCACCTGGTTCCCTGATGCTTTCGGTCGAGGGTGTTTGGACTCTGCAAACCTTGTGCTGCCCCTACCAGGAGCAGGACATCCGAGTAAGGCTGGCAGGTCCCAGCCCCATGCCACGTCCTGCCTGCAGCTAGATTCAGCCTCGTGTGCTAAATGGAGTCCTTATGGCAAGTGCCTGAAGCAGCATCATTCAAAATACAGGATATATATTAAGGATTGGTGGTGACTGCAGAAAAAAAAGGCTTGCTGGGCAGCTTGCGGAGCAGCGATGAAGTGGCAAGGTGAACTGCACCAAAATGACAGCACCCTGTCTAAGGAGATCGTATGCAAAATGTATCTCGGTATCAACTGTGACACTGTCTTACCCCTGCCTGACATATATCTGCTTGCTTGTTAGGATGAGCGAGCTTTGGTGTGACAGTGGGTAAATTTACAGAATGAGATGCACCCATTTGAGCGCAGGTGACAGTGGTAGGGAACCGCTACTGATGTGCTAGTGATGATCGTAAATTGGTTACAGTAATATCCACGAGAGTGATAAATCTGTAAAATATCAGGAGGCTGCTGTTGTCACTGGGGCATCGCTGTGACAGCCCAACGATAACTTTCAGATTTCTGATGCCTTCCAGCTGCGGACTTTTTGTTGTTACATGGTGCTTGTGAATACCTCCCTGTGGGGTAATGTTGACCTGAAGTTCCTGTGCCCCCACAGATTAATGATTACAATTAAAATCATAAGAAAACAAAAATAAGTAGTAGATACTGTGCTAACCTCATATTTCATGTGTGTGGTGGATGTTAATGTTGTCATATCACTGAGACATGGGCACGTTTCAATAACTGAAATATCTTCCTAAATTCATCCCATCCCACGGACTAGTTGGCAAGGAACAGGCTCTGTGTTTGCAGCTGGGTGCGTGGCATGGCTTACTGGTTTTTGACAAGCAATGAAAATGCACACCTGCTGCTGCGAGTGTTCTTAACCAAAGGGTTAGAAGACTTTATATTTTTGTGTCGTTTCACTGAAGGCCACGGTAATTGTTTAGGAAGAAGGTGAATTTTCAGTCCTTTCTTCAGCAGAAGTATATAGCAGCACCAGGTGACTATAAAAGGTAAAATGATGGGGTGGCTGTAGCTGAAAGGTTTGCAAAGCGATGTGGCAGAGCAAAACCCTTCTGATCAGCTTTAAAGATGTGTTCTCAGATTCTGTCTTCAGCCATTTCTGGAAAAGCACATTATGACCTCAGCACAGGCTCTGGCAAGCACTGTCTTGCTGGGCTTTGCTGAGGCTGAGTGTGCTCGGGGCAGACCTGATGTGGCAGGAGATGCTGAAGGTCAGAGCTGAGACAAGAGAAGAAGGGTGCTCTGGGCTAGGTGTGAGGACACAGGAGGGCTGAAGCTTAGGACAGAGCTGTAAATTCTTGTCTCTGTGAGGTCTGTGGTGGATACAAGCACCACGTCCTGTTGGCAGCAAAGGGATGAGAGCCTATTTACTGGAGCTAACACCAGGAAGTTTTCCCTTATCCTTCATCTCAGCCTCCATTCATGCACACGTAATGCACATCCCCATCCTGTGCATTGTCCAGCTCCCTGGGCAGGTGAGGAATTGTTTCAGCCCCAGCTCCTTAGCTTGATTTAGTTTGTGGTGCAGAAACTTCTGCTTTCAGCCCCAGCAGGAGTACTGGGGTGAGCCCGGGCAGAGCTGGACAGACGGAGGCTGTTGCTCTCACTGCACGGCTGCAGCAGTGAACTGCCTGGGAGGGCAATGGCTCAGCCACAGATTTCCCTGGCCATGTCCTGGGGGTTGTGCCCCACTGAGTGGTGCTCATGGCAGGTGAATCACCTACTTGGTGAATCCATCCCTGCAGAACTCATAGCACTTTGTAGGGATGACCAGCTACTAAAAATCCCTGTTCTGCACTGAGCCCTGTAGCTTTGCTGGTGCAGCGATCGGCTTTTGTCCGTGCTTATGTGTTGGGCTACTGAGAAGGGATATTCAGGAGCTGCACACCCAAAACACAGAGGTCTGCAAAGGAGAGTGGAAGGATTTTTCAGCTGCATGAAAACTTGCAAAGAGGCCAAAAACCTTAGCTTAACAAAATGCTTTAGTTATCCCTCTCCTTCCATGTATGCACAGCTGTAGGTACTGTGGGGTCCTCATGCTGAGCAGAGGCTGTGGGTGCTGCTAATATTTCAAAGTTGAATCCATTCTGCATATTAGGAAATGAATATGCGGGTTGGAGCCAGTTTGTATTTTAAGAAAGCCTCTAAGCTGCAATTAGAAAAAAATTCGTAGCGATCACTCTCTCTGTGCTTATATTCTTATCAATAGCAGCAAGCTTAGATCCAGATCAGCTATAAAACAAAGTATTTCTTTTTGTTCTTCTTCTTGAGTGCTTACGTATATAGATACTGTATTTCTGGAGATAGCTTTTTATCTCCTAAATTACCTCTCAGAGATGGGAAGGAATAGGCAAACATTTGAATGTTCTCAAATGAGGATCTAAATTTGGCTTAATTAAACAATTATTGCATGTTTAATTTAAAGGAAGCTTCTTTGTTGACAAACATACGTTGGTCGCCATTTCTTGGAAAGGTGTTGCTGTAATTATTTCAGCAGTAATCAATTAAAATGCAATTTTTATAATTAAACTTCCGCAATCTAAATAAGCCCAGCCCTGTAATAGTATGTAATTGTTATGGTGTTGGTAGGCTTGTTTTTAT